GAGATGTACTTTCCACCGAGCTCTCTCTTGTGCTGTGCGAGGAAGTATCCGACTGCAAACCCATTGGGCGACCCTATTGACATCCCACGTTAGTATCTCCATTGACCAGGAAGTCGCATATTCATTGGAAACTGCACCTACCAAGCAAAGGGAGATATTCCGGTGCGTTTGACTGAAATTCAAGTCCAGGGTAAACCGGCAGATTGTTCAGTTGAAGACGCCTGGCTTGTAAAATCGTCTCAATGATGTCCGACGTATCATCATTGGTTACAGGTGTGCTCAGGAACAACTTGATATCCCATGGATGATAAGGGTTGGCTAGCTTCCAGAGACCCCACATGATGTCTGAGCTGGCCCTCAGTGCTGGTAGCTGGTCGCTCGGCGGAGGTTGGTGGAGACCCCAGAGATCTTGTGCACTGCTGGCGGGATTCTGGCGGTTAATCATCACGATCATGCCTGACATGACATTTACGCCAATGGTGAACTCGGCGTTGGTGGCCTGGTAGGGCATGAACATGAGTAACTGCAAAGCATCTATGTAGCACTTACTCGGTATGGTCTGTTGTTGACATAGTACCACTGGTTGTTGACAGGCGGCAGATTCCCTCGAGGATCGCGAATGATCGCTGGTCCGTCCTTGTGGTTGATGAAATAGCACCGGTTTGGTCCATTCTGCCAAGTGCTACTGGTAAGTATTGACAGGCTGTCTAACATCCTCTTGAGCTTGTGGTTGGTCTGGAACTCGCACTCGTCGAAGTGGCTTGCACGCCATTGAGGGGTGCCGTCATCACTATCGAGCTTGTAGCCCCAGGTCGTGAGATCGGTCATGATTGGGTTGACCCAAGGGCTGTCTATGGGTGTGACATAGGCGGCAGCTACATCGCGGGGAGAAGTTGTTGCTGCTAGTAGCTTCTGGCCCTTGCAAGATGCAAGATAATATACCCTATCGACATCTTCGGCGCGGCTGACTAGGCTACTGGGCACTGAATACTCCGAGGGCGAGGAGTCTTCGGTCCAGTCAGGCGAAGAGTGGAACAAGCGAGGCATAGAAGTGTCTACAGCTGGAGCCGCAACAATTCCAGTCTCAAGGGCCACAAAGAGAGCGATGGCTAACAGTTTCATCGTGTCGCAGTCCGGGATTGCTCAGTTGCTCTTGCTGGAGTGTTTCGGGGGAAGGTGCTCGCGACTGGCTCTAGGAAATGTGTGGTGTGTGTGCTTTTCAAGAGGTAAGCAATTCAGTGCCCGATTTGATCACTTCGTCACCTTATCACTATCACAGCCGAATATTCTCATTCACTCTCTGTTAACGTTGTCGCACTGACCCGGCTGTATGCCGTTGATTGAGCAAGATTCGTGCACCGGACGTCTCATGGCCACAGTAGGACGCTCTCTCTAAAGACTCGTATCGCAGAATCACAAACCGTATGATCGTTTTGAACGAAGAATCACGGCTGATCGCATGTGCATGTGACAAGGCGAGGGAAAGATGCGCCACCCGATGCGGACTAGCGTCCCTGTCATCGCGACGCGAACCCTGAACGACAGACCTCATGCTTTCTTCACTCTCAGCAGACAGCAGCTACCAATGGCACCTTTGTCGCCAGAATGACCACTGTGCATCTCCGAGGCGTATAAGAAGCAAGAAGCACCAGTCTTTTCGGTGTCTAAGTGCACTAGTTGGCTTAACCCCACGAAATGAACAGGCCGCCCCTGTTGCGGGCGAGAGTTTTCAGAATGTATGTGCAGTACAAAATCCGTGCATACTACTAACAGGAAACAGACTTCATTTCACTTCATGCTCCCTTGTTCTTCATTTGACATGGGCACACCATCATGGAGCGCCCACTGAGCCTACTGACTTGTAGCAAATACTCGGCACAGCTGTTGCAGATAGCGCAGCGTAATGTCGATGGCAAAGCCGTTGTTTGTACCTCAAGCTCAAATCAAATCTAGTCGATTCTCCGATTTTTTTTTCAGACGTTATACATCATACCGCTCAATGTGCGGTGTAGGGAAAGGGTTTATTGGCAGGGGTAAGGAACCGCAGATGTTACAGGGAAGGATCGAAATATCCATCAGTTTTGAAAGAATCCATGCTGGAGTATCCCAAAATTCTCATATCTATTGCCATAGTTACATCCACTTCGACCGACTTAGGCTTCACATTTTTCTCTCGGTATCGTCTGTCGTGTTCTCATTAGATACCAATCTTTCCCTCGTGTCTCATCTTTCGTAATTACGGTAGGAAGCACCTCTTCTCTTACTGCTCCATCTTGCGGTCAGATGAATTGATTGCTGACCGCTCTTACCTCTCTTTCTCGGTGTCGTGTCGCCTGTCCCTGTCCAACATGGTCCTGCTAGCCTGCTTCTTCGATATGTCCATATAAATTGCGCCGTTCCTGCTTCTTGTTCTTCCTTGTATCACTCCATGCACTACTTCTCATCTTTCTAATATCATTATGTTTTATCATGGGTACTACCCATTCCCAATAGCAGGTCAAAGATGAAGTGCTACTTGCAACCACTACGGCTCTCTCGCTGCGTTACAACGGTGACAGACAGATTCACATCGTCAGGACTTTTCCACGGGCTGCCTTTGATGGCTCACCTTCGTTCTGCATCACAACGTGACCAAGCCGCAGCACGCGTACTTGTTTAGAGAACAGGTACTGCTTCATGCTCAACCTCACCGGGCGCGGCTAACATCTCACAGCGCACAGGCTTAGATTGCACGCAGTCAACAATTGACTCAATCTCACTACGCACTGTACTGTACTGTGCTGAACTATAAAGAACTGTCACATATTATGGTCACCTCAAGAATCAAGAAGAAGAGAGCTTGGAGCCATCGTTCATGACTGTATCGCGGATGTCTTCACACATTGCATTCGTCTCGTCAGCCTGCTCGATGCTCAAAGTAGAGGTATACATGCCATTGAATCGAACGACCGTCTCGCAGCCGTGCAATCTTGCTGTGCCGGCCGCGGACTCATGGGGAACGCTAGTGTTTACTCACTCTCACCGTCCCAACTCAGAGCTGTGTTTGCTCGCGTTGTACCCTGGCAACCACTCTTGGCACTTAATTTCAAGTCGCCACGGCCAACAAAACCCACACAGCTCTCCCACGCTGCTCTCCCACACTCAATTGCCACAACAACTTCTTGAATCGAACCCGACCCGCTTGCCACGACGACCATGGAGGGAATTAACTTCAATGAAAGCAACACTGACATCAACCCCAACAGCAATCAGCAGATCCCTACATTCTTCGGAATGGAAGGCTCGCATGGTAAGTCATACTACTCCGTCACAGCTTGGCTGCAAAGCCTGGAGCCGCAAGGCACGGGAGGCATTGAACACGGTGACACTCTCTCCAATACCATAGTCACTAATGCGGAGATAGATGGCTCGCGCGACCGAGAATGTGAGCATGAGAAGAGCCCATTGAGACAGAACAATCATGCTAACTACCACAGTGGACCTGGTCAAGGCCATGAAGCACGAAGTCAGCGAGTTCACCGAGGTCATGGAGCAGTTGTTCCATGACATGCACGCCCGCATGAAAAAGGCGGAGTACGAGCGGGACGTCGCCCTGGGCAAGATTCGTCCGTCCGAGAACATGAACGGGGTGGCCTCCCAGTCGGCCCCGCAGTTTGGCCGTTTTCGTTTCCACGATGCGGAGGGCGCTCCTATGACCTCTTCTCCTCTTGCAGCCTCGGACGATGTAGAGGACGAAGAAGAGTATGTCCAAGAAGCAAATTCCCCATTCATCGATTTCAAGTTCGAGGCCTCCAAGAAGAATGCCGGCAGACGCAAGGCACCCAACAGCTTGTCCTCACTCTTGGTCCCCAAGGCGACATCATCGACCAGCCAAAGCGTAAGTCCCTTGAGTCCCTCCCCGCTCCCATATACCCATCTAACACCCTCCAGTTCAGCCCCACGAAGATCACCAAGCGGCCCTCAAGCAAAGCGCGCATGCATTACGCCAAGCATGTTACTTCGGACATGGTCTCTTCAAAGGCTCTCATCCCCAACGTGCCCCTCACAGATACGGAGGTTATCGTCTTCTTCTACCAAACTACCGCCCGCCCCGTCGTCGCCTTGCGCCTGTACGCCCGTGGCTGGGGTCCCGCCAAGATCGCCGACGTGCTAACCGTCCACCGCGGCGGCGAGTACCTGCGCAACTCGTGCTCGGTCAAGTGCACCGCCAGCATCAAAAAGGGCAAGAAGAACTGCGGCGAAGACTGGCTTAACCTCATCAAGGAAGCCTTCGAGGTGGCCGACGATGCCAAGGCAACCGAGTTGATCCGCTACGGAGACAGGGAGATGAAGCTACTCAAGATCGTCGACGCGAAAATCAAGTCGCTGGCCAAGGGTGTCATCAACATGCCCAAGGTGGGCAAGGGTGCCGGCTTGTTCACCAAGTACGTTGAGTACTGTGCTGAGAATGAGCTTGATTTCAGGCTGTCGCAAACCGAGGAGTTGTCGGAGTTTATGAAGGAGGGGCAAAAGGACGCGGAGAAGTTGATTGAGGAGATAAAGATGGGTTATACGGACATGGAGTTTTAGATAAGTCGTTGCGGGTGTGCTTGATGTGGGTTCGTGGTACACATTGTACTGGTGCAAGATAGCATTGCTTGGGTGAATGAACTGGGTACGTACATGACTTGCCTCTACGAAGGAGTGGATATAGGATTCTGCTGTAATACATGAATGAACGCCGACTTTTAGTCCATCTTGTGTTTTTTTGTCGTGGTGTGTGAAGATTTTCAGACATGATGACTACGGGGTGGTGAGTAGATATTCTGGGTGCTGTGAATACAACGGATGTGTTTTTAAGAATACGTATGATGTATTAACGTTTTCAACTTGGTCCTCCATATCATATCTTCTCACGCTATTCAGAAGATATTCAGTGAATTAATACTATGAAAGCTTCAACCCAGATAGCACAGTGTATACCTCCTCACCTTTATCTGCCGAACTCTCGATATCCTCCCCACCTACACACACCCATACCAAAGCTTCCAACTATCATATATTGACGACCTATCGCTTACTACCTCATCAACCTCTTTAAAGAAAAATATAAGAGTGTTACAAAGAGAGATAGCTACATTATTCTCTAGAGGAAAAGAGCTAGGCATCATTTTTGATCCATCAAAAACAGAGCTTATCCACTTCACTGCTAAAAAGGAAAGAAACAAAAGAGCTCTAACTCTTCCAAACAACAGCCAGGTAGAACACAAAGACACTGTAAAGTGGCTAGGTATCTATCTAGACAACCGTCTATCATTCAAATCACATGTGTCTATACGTGCAAGCCAAGCTAGACAAGCTTTCTACAGACTAGGAAGACTAGCGAACATTGAACTCGGCCTATCAACACATGCTATCCGGCAACTATATCTAGCATGTGTAACCAGCGTGTCAGACTACGGAGCGCAAATCTACTGGCAAAACCAATTACACGCCACATCAATACTACAATCACTACATAACCTAGCATGCCGGAAGATTCTAGGAGTGTTTAGAACCGCACCAGCCGTTCCAACAAGCATAGAAGCTAGCCTACCGCCACCAGCAATTAGACTCAACACAACTATCCGGAACTACGCAAGAAGAGCAAACCTGCTCGCTAGTACCCACCCAATTGCTAATGCAATAACCCGGATACAATCAACAAACCCCCAACAAACAAAAAAGCCAGACCAACACCGACAGCTATAAGCTATTATCGAATCAATTCCTAAAAATAATAAAAGAGATACAGAACAGACTATCCTATACCGGTTTAGACCATAGGATACGCCTAACTACAAAATAACAATCTCACAAAAACGCAAGGAAGAGGAAGCAATTGAGCATAAGGCCTACATTAAAACTAGGCTAGATAACTGCACTACAATCTACTCAGACGCCTCGCAAATAAAAGATAGAAATGGTATAGGTGTTGGCATCGTAGCCTACAACTCAACCCAGCAAGAGATCTACTCAGAAAAGACTAATATAGGGGAATACCAACTAGTTTACAACGGTGAACTAGAAGGCATTACTCTAGCTTTTGAATACGCAGCAAAGACAGCTACAAGAGACTAAGAATTCGAGATCTACGCAGACAATCAGGCAGCAATCTATAGGCTTAAAAACCTATCAGATAACCTAGGGCAACAATGGCAACTACGATGCCTAAAAGCAGCAGACTTGTCATTAAGCAAATCAAACAAACTTTGGACGCTGATTTGATTTGTTTGTACAAAACTTAAGATTGTATTTGAGTTGTTTAGTTTGATAGTGTTTTAGGAGGCCGTTTGTTTGAAAGTTTGATAGATTTGATACTGTTTAGGTGCTGATCTAATCGTATATCGTATATATTACTAAGCTTCGCTGTCCCACTTGCATATTTCGTATATTGCAGCTACCTCAGCGTCAGTTACATCGCCTGAGTTGTAATCAGATGGAGGCTTAAAGCCAGCGTCGCGCCAGCTTCGTATACACTGTATTGCTGCAAGCAGTTGTGACCCAATTTTGCGTCGCCTTGGCTCTAATAAATCACCGAGCTCGCTGAACAGCCGCTCGCACTCACAACTTGAGGCTGGTATTGTTAATATATCGATCGCCATACGCGCTAGGTTAGGATACTTTGGGCGTAGGCTTATCCAATAGCTAACAGGATTACTACCTTGTTCGAACTGCTCCTGCGTCCAGCGGAGTTCAAACCGTCGCCAACGCTCCAGCTCATCCATCTCTGTCACCTCAACAATGCCATAAGGCTCCGCATTAACGAGCGCGTTGATGGCGTCGTTGATACCACTTGAGAGCCGCACTGGTGGGCGACTTTGGCGCTGTATTTGCGGCTTATAGAACGCCCAAAGTTGTTTCAACCCAGCGTTGTTTGCCTCAAGCCAGCTCGGTTTGTCGCGCCAGCTGTTCTCACAGTAGTTCTTGTAGTATGGGTGGAGGCAGGTAGCGGCAAAGTATGCGGGTGATTCGTCGAGCTTAGTGTAATACGCGTTAAGCTTTGCCCAAGCTGCGCGTAGGTTGATAGGAAGGTGATCTTCTGGCGCGCTATTGGCATTATAGTCGACGCTTTCGTGGTTTTTAAGTAGCTGCTCGTACACGGCAAGTACAGCTTCGAAGACAGGTATAACCTCGTATATCGCGCCGAAACGGCCAGCTTTACCGCGAGCTTCAAGCCGTTTTGTCGCCTCCTTTAGCGGCTCCAACACTGATATATACTGGGTTATTACCGCCCAATCGTCAGCCGTAAGCCCATTAGATCTCATCCAAGCTGGTACTTTAGTGAGCTTATTGTTACGGCTACGCGCGTACGCGTCGGCGCCCATCGTCCTTTCGATGTGGCTTTGGGCGTACTCATCAACGGCGTTATGGAGTTTTGCGGCGCGTACAAAGGTGTCGTGAAAGCTGTTCCAGCGCGTGACGACTGGCTTTACCGGCTCGAGTATTTCCTGCTTTTGGTCGGGAGCCTTAGCGTTAACACGGCGCTGGCAATCGGCAAAAAGATCGTGTTGTTGCGGTGTTTGGATGTAGTTGATGATATCGATTAGTACACCAAGCGGACCTTGCTGCCGCCATTCTTGTAGGTAGGCTGCCTCTGTTTTGTGCTCGTCCTGATCATTATCGTACGCGTCCTTATCAAAGCCGAAGATAATCATCTGTCCGACTAAGTTAAGTGTGTGAGGGCCGCAGCGGAGGCGGTGATGGCTTGCTGTAAATTCAAAGCGTTGGGCGAGTTTGGTGACGGCGGTGTCATTAGCGTACGCGTTGTCGAGCACAAAGTACCCAAGCTGGCTACGTGTTATACCGAAGACATCGATTATATTGCCAACAACTTCAGCTATCCTCTCGCCCGTGTGGGCGCCCGTAAGCTGAGGCAGCGCGATAGGTAGGTCCCTGATAGTGCCGTCGGCGTCAGCAAAATGAGCAACAACTCCAAAGAAGCCGCGCTTGCCGCCTTTTGTCGTCCAGCCATCGAAGCTTATATGGATTTTACTAATAGCCGACGAGAGCATCTGAACAACCTGCGGCTCCATATAGCGATACAGCCTCATCACGAAGCTAGCTACACTGTTGTGACTTACCCACAGCGCGTCAGCTGCCTCCGGGTTGGCAAACTCTATCATCTGCCTAAACGCAGGCGTTTCGAACTCGCGGAGAGGGTGGTTATTGTCGACAAGCCACGTAACAGCGGCGTATCGAAAGCGCTGTACGTCGAAGTTTCCGAGCTCGTTAGCGACGCCTTGAGGTACATCGACACCGCCCTCGGTCATCATCTTAAGCGTCGTTTGGCCTCGCGGTAGTGTAATCGAATCCAGTTTGCCCTTGCGATCGTAGCCGTGGCCAAGTAGCTTCTGCGCGAGGTGGTTGATAGCGTTACTGGTCGACTTTGTAACCTCTGGATAGGCGCAAAAGATCTTACGATGATGGCAGTATTTGCAAACAAAGAACGTACGATGAGGCTCACGGAGAGAGGCAACGCGGTAACCGTACTGATATACCCAACTTTTGTTGCGCTTCAACGTACGCAGCGGCTTCGTAAAACGCGGTAAACGCTTCCAATCAATGCCGTCAAAGTTGTCCGTAAACTCGTCATCAAAGCCAGTATCATCCCCGCCTTCGATAGCCTCACTTGTAGCCTCCGTAGCAGCCCTACTACCCTCGGCCGGCGGTTGTATAGTAGCTTCTGGTATAGCGTCGCGCAACTGCGACTCGAACGGCGCGTCTTCGGTGGCCTGGCTTGCTGCAGCAGCTAGGGCTTTACGTGGCGAGGTGCGGATAGACAGCTCAGGCTGCGAATCGTCCATCAGGATAGGCTGCGATGCACTGCCTTTAGCTGTTTTGGCGCGCTTGTGGGGGCCGTGGGGGCCGGGGGTGCCCTCGGCGGCGCGTTTTAGGTTACGAAGCGGCATTTTCGGCGTGTTGGGCAACGAGAAACACTAAAACGTGCTGTAGAGACGGTAGTGTAGCTGCAAAAGATGGCTAACAGCGATATAGAAGATGGGAGATGGGATATAAGATAGCGGTCATCGACGGCTAGCGACGCTCGTGTAGTTATATGATGACTAAGCTAGATGCAACACAAGAAAACTATCGCGAAATTGCTACCTCCGCTATCTCAAAAACATCATTAAAGTCGATCTTAAAGCACCTTAGGACATCATCTATAGAACAGTGTTGACACGGCAAAGGTGTCGAATACTAGCAGTCGTTGCAACGAACAAAGTGTATAGTATTTGATTAGTAGTGAGCAAGAGCTGGATGGAGAGATCTCCATATGTACGGTTGCGAGCTAAGCGGGAAGCTTGGTCTAACTAGTGGTCCAAGCTTCCGGCCCGGAAAAACTCGCCGGGCTGGCTGTACGCGCATGTTCCGACACTGGCTTTTCTTCTTTTTGTGACGGCGTACAGTCAGCTCCCAAGTACCCCGAATCTGCTACAATATCCTGCTCCTAGAAAAGTATCTAGTTTCCTATTCCGGCTAACGCAAATACATGCAACCCATTCATCCCTTGTGTGTGTGTGCATGTGTGTCCGTCTCAGTTCTCACCA